GTGTCACTGATATTTATCATTGTTTGATGTAAACATAGTTTATGTAGTCATAATACCACAAGAACGTTTAAAAGTGAGAATTATTTATTTCAAACTTTGTTTTATTGCAGGATTAATATTTGTTATGTTTGAATCACATGTAAAATGTTTGGGCATCATTCGAGTGCAAAATTGGATACAAAAGCTTGAAACTAACCAAAATTAGTTTATTTATTGATTAAAAAATACCCATTCTGCAATAAGTTACATTTTCTGCAAATCATTCTGCAATCCAAGATTTGCAGAACTTGTCTGGGACTGATATACATAAACCACCAGGCATATACCATAGCTGTGTACAAGGCGTAGGGTTGGTAGCTACAAAAAACAAATAGAACAAATATCTATGGTGGATAACACCATCAAATGTTAATTGTTAGATTTTCTCCCCCACCCACCTCACTCCCAAAACACCCCTGTGCACCCCTGTGGACCAAAGTGTTGTCTCGAGTCTAGAGTCACTGACGTGTAATCCAGAAATACCTTGATATATACAAGGCATGGAAACAATCTGTGATTCTCTTTCTTGGCTGTAGTTATGCTTCAAGCTCTGTAAAACCCGTAACTCACATTACCAAGTCATTCAGTCAAACTATCAATAATATACAGAAAAAATATTTGGAGACAAAAATAACCATGTACACATACACAGCCCTGAAATGAAGTCCTGTTATCTGTCACAGAGTTTATTCACACATAACATCAGAAATACCTTTCAGCATTGCTGCCCACAGTAATGTGTTTGTCACACAAACTCAGCGCTTTATGGGAGAACATAAAGAAATACGGGTCAATGGAGTCGCTGTAACAAACTGGTCACTGCTTGACCCGACACTGACCACCATGGCCAGTCAGATCACTCTGTCCACACACACTGGAGAAAGGGCAAACTGGTAATAATATACTTGCAAGTATAAAGAATAATGTTTGTCTTCCCTGGTTCTCATAAATGAACTGTGGGATCTGTTAAATGACCATACACAAAGCGATAATCTGATATATATAGATGACATCTACAGAATATGAGCTTAAATACAGTAGGTTTTATACCCTATGATACTACAGTACATGTAAGAGTCTATCATAAGCATTAACACACCATTGAGTTCTCATCCACTGTCAGTTAGACTCAGGCAGCGAGGAGTTTATATAAAACCTGGATTGAGACATCTATTGGGATAAAGTATTTTACGTGGGTGGCTTACAAAACACACTGTATTGTGACATTTATCAGTAGTCAGGCAACAGATTACAGATTTTGGCTAACCATTTAGCTTTGGTCAGTCAAAGCAGATATAAATAAATTTGTGTTGGTCAATATTTTGTATTAACTTGGCATGAGGTTGTTTGGGTCAGTTGGTTTGGTGGTACAAACTAACTGCTAATACTACTACCGGGTAAGTATTATGTAAAGTATGCAACATATATGTACAACTACTTCTTAGGAGGCTTTGTTCTGTTTATAAGGTGGCCACAGGCAACATACAATGCATTTTATGAAGTCTTTTAATAATTAATTTTATAGCTGTTTTAATTTTAAATGATTTTTGTCATCATATCTCTTTAATTGTTAAAACACTAAAATGAAGCTGTTTGGGAAACAAAAATAAATTTAAACTACCAGTATTACCATTTTATTTCTGATTTTTTATTTTGGTTTCATTCAGTTGACACTTAATTCATTCCCCCACCCCCACACCTCCCCCCACCAATATAACCCCAAATATATACTTTAGGTATGTTCCTGAAATCAATGGAATTGAACCATTTATCATTATCATCTATGTTGACACTTCTTACACTCTGAGTGTTGGTGTTAACTCTTTTCTATACCTGCAGAAGAGACAATGCTCTTACATGCTCATAATAACACTGACAATATGATATCTGATGACCATGTCACATCATTATGCTAAGCCTTGTAGAATCAGCACTTTGGTAAATACAGTAAAGAAAAGAGTAAACCACTAAATCAAACTGCAGTGATATGTGGGTATGGCATCATGAAGGGTAGCATATATGGAGGACTGAATGAGCAACTTGATGTTCCACCCTCACGTAACGTGTATCTTGACGTGTATTGGCAACATGATCATGATACAGTGAAACACTGCTAATGTGGAGGATGTTTCCAGTAAAATCGTCCATATTAAATAAAAAAAATCCACAAAATGACATTAGCACTAAGACAACCAGAACTCCAATAACATTGACTAAGAATAGTTGTAACAGTCATTTTGTGGAACAAGCATATCATAAACAAATCATGAAGTTATGTCCCTTTGATTGTTTATAAGCATTCCCAACTGTTAATAAATTGTTCAGATGACAGCCCTTAGAGACTAACTGGATCTGGTCTAACCTGATTTCACCGCATGTGAGATTCAGAAATGTTAAAACATGTAAAAACCACATTAAAATTTGGCATTGCAGCAAATTCCAAACATACCAAAAAGGAATGAATGCCTATAGGAATGGATAACATACGTCATACAACTCCACAAATTTAAACAGACATTTACAAAATGACAAGAGATGTCAAAGTTTTTATGTATAGAATCCCACAACGCCCAGGTTATGCTTGAGATTGCAAAGCCCGAGGGAAGAAAGATGAGGGAAATAAGACTGAGGGCAAAGAGTGAGGTCTTGCCCCATAGAATCTCTTTTCAAGGGCTTACAATCCTAAGGAGGAGTGTTGTATCTAGTTTAAATACCGACAAAGATTAGAAAATATGGCAAATATTGATCAATGTCAAATATTGGCTGGTTTGTCCCCCATGTACAGAAGTAGGTCCAACGGGCACCTAGTAAATGTTGGACTTCTAACATGTTTCTTGCAACACAAATGAGTGCGCAGGTAATTCTTTCAAAAATAAAGAAAACAATCAGTATTTTTTATGAAATCATTCATATATCATTGTTCATTTCAGTTTCTGATCAATTTACAAGAACAAAAAGAGACATATTTATTACATGTTATTACAATAATTATTTCTAATATTTCAGAAGCATGACTTCAAAACCTTTTCCCTCTGTACGTACGGCCTTGGTGGCTGAATTGTTAGTGAGCTCAGTATCAATGATGGATCTGACCTACAGTATTAGGGTTCGAATCTTAGGATTGGCAACTATTACAAACAAAAATTAGTTCAAGCATATTTGTTAAGACTTACCAGAGAAAAAACAAGGTATTATAAAGTTTGTAAAGACATACTTTAGTGGAGATACTGATATATAATGTCAAATCTCAGAGGTGGTACAGATATATAATATTGTATCTCAATGGAGGTACAGATATATAATATCGTATCTCACTGGAGGTACAGATATATAATATATCTCAGTGGAGGTACACATATATAATATCATATCTCAGTGGAGGTACAGATATATAATATCAAATCTCAGAGGTGGTACAGATATATAATATCCTATCTCAGTGGAGGTACAGATATACATATCAAATCTCAGAGGTGGTACAGGTATATAATATCATATCTCAGTGGAGGTACAGATATATAATATCGTATCTCAGTGGAGGTACAGATATATAATATTGTATCTCAGTGTAGGAACAGATATATAATATCATATCTCAGTGGAGGTACAGATATATAATATCCTATCTCAGTCGAGGTACAGATATATAATATCGTATCTCAGTGAAGGAACAGATATATAATATATCTCAGTGGAGGTACACATATATATTATCATATCTCAGTGGAGGTACAGATATATAATATCATTGCTCTGTGGAGGAACAGATATATAATATCATTGCTCAGTGGAGGTACACATATATAATATCATATCTCAGTGGAGGTACACATATATAATATCATATCTCAGTGGAGGTACAGATATATTATATCATATCTCAGTGGAGGTACAGATATATAATATCGTATCTCTGTGGAGGAACAGATATATAACATCATATCTCAGTGGAGGTACAGATATATAATATCATATCTCAGTGGAGGAACAGATATATAATATCATATCTCAGTGGAGGTACAGATTATTAAAAGATATAAAAAAAAACCCATCAGAGATGACAAGGACTTGATTCTGTCATTGAGCATAGTTGAACCAGGCAATAAAGATCAACAGATGTCATCATACAATATCACAAGCCTCCAAAAACAATAGATGACGTCACCAGAGGGTTTCTAAGAGCTTGTAATAAATCCCAGCTTGCTTGGTGGAGCATATGTGTTCAAAGCAATGGGAGTGCAATATGACTGACCATTATTCAAATCTCATGTAAGACTTTACACTTGTCAGTGGAACACATTCTCCATATCCATTCATTTCAAGGTAAATGTTTTTAAGCTTTTGTCATTTGTTTTCACTAATTCAATATGATCAACATTTTCTTGCGATATGATTGGCTCGATTGTTTGCCTCGCACAGGTGAGACAAGCTTCCTTATTATCAACTTGCTACAGAAGCCACACAAATTTGCTTCTCAACAAAAAATTCAAAAGATCAACAAAGTGAGATTATTGAATTAAGCCAGGTGTGAGAGCACACAGATTGTGCTTCTAGTTGAGAGTGTGATAATCCGGTGAAGGCTGCCGCCACGGGGGCACATGCCAGCTATGGTCACTTGTGATTCAGACATAATCACATGGAGCTGCTACTGTTTGAGAACACTGCGCAATGAATGATCAATAGACGACACACATTTCCTGGTCAACTGAGCCCGCTGTACTAACATCAAAGAGAAGGGGATGTCAAGTACACCACTGAAACTTTCCTACCAACCTGCTCCAATTTCAGACCAACCTGGCACAGCTTCTAATCAACATGCTACAACATCATGGACTAGCGAGGCCTTAGAGTGTCAACTGTATCTACGCTCAGAAACAAATGCATGAACACCTATAGGAAGAAATAACCTCCACTGGTCATGTTAGAATGGAGACTAGAGAAATTATTGAATCATAACTTACCATATTTGACTCAGCACTTGTAATGGTAATCCTGATTTTAGAAACACATCCCTGGCTCTCTCAGCTGCAATATCAAAGATACATTTTATATAACTGGTTCTATTCTCATAGTTAATTTGAGGCAAAATTCAGATGAAATGCTCTTACTGGTATGAATTGATAGTGGTTTAGTGGTAGACGTCCGCCAGGAGAGATGAAGGTCTGGGTTTCGATCCCCGGACGCGTCTTACCAAAAGACATTAAAAGATGGTACTTGTTGTTACCCTATCTGGCACTCGGCATTAACATGATTAAGGGGCTAAAACAAAGACTGGTCAGCTCGGAGTCAGTATACTGTGTCTGAGTGGGGTAGTCATGTTAAACTGCGGCATGGTATCTCAGTGGGCTAGCACTATATAATTCGGCATCAGTCCGGACTAGTTCATAGCAGGCACAAAAACACACACGTGCATGCACATCGCTACATAAGTGCAATAATCTTGGATGCATCTATCATGTCTATTAACCCCATTTCTCCTCACCATAGAGAATTTCATTTTTTAAAGATAAATTTTAACAAGTTTCTAGACCACAATTACTAGTGATAGATGACAAAAAAAGTCAGGTATTTGGAAACATAAGTATTTGTTTTTGTTTTTGCCAACATAAAAAGCTGAAAATCAGACAAAATAATGCAAATGCTATAAATGTATAACTTGAAACATGCTTTTTAGATTTTGAAATCCATGGAGGCAAGTCTGGAGACATTTTGACGTAATTACACAGTTAAATTATGTCAGCAGTGCTTGAAAGGAAAACTTGGTGTTGTGTTTACAATTTGTCAGGAAAAGAAGCCAGTACTTAGAAGATGTTTAAATGGGAAAAAGGTAAATTTACTGTACACAATACAAGTCAGGTTGAACAATTATTCAACTAGCAGTTCTTCTATTTTCTATTTATATTGACATAAATAATTATAATTCATTCCACAAAAAAACATGCAGATCCAGCAGACCCTGAGTAAACAATGTAATATATAACCATGAAGTGAATTGTATCTGAATGAAACTATTGCTGATAGCTTATCTCAGTCCAAGAGATCATATTATTGATTATTAATTATCCGCATATCCATGATGGCAATATGTCGTGCTGACATTGACAGCAATGTACAAGTACAGGATGGAGGAAACAGCTGTTACAGCATACCTCGTCACTCACTCGACCCCGACAGTCAGTGTCAATCATTATATAATGTACACACAGCTACTTAGTGATACTAAGGCTACAACACATTCTGGGAAGGTCAACATGGTAGTGTTGAGGTACAGTTTCTTAGACTGAAGACCTCGGTGCTCAGACTGGGCCCACTACCTGATGTTCTGGGAAGGTCTACATGGTAGTGTTGAGGTAAAGTTTCTTAGACTGAAGACCTCGGTGCTCAGTCAGGGCCCACTACCTGATGTTCTGGGAAGGTCTACATGGTAGTGTTGAGGTAGTTTCTTAGAATGAAGACCTCGGTGCTCAGTCAGGGCCCACTACCTGATGTTCTGGGAAGGTCTACATGGTAGTGTTGAGGTACAGTTTCTTAGAATGAAGACCTCGGTGCTCAGTCAGGGCCCACTACCTGATGTTCTGGGAAGGTCTACATGGTAGTGTTGAGGTAGTTTCTTAGACTGAAGACCTCGGTGCTCAGTCAGGGCCCACTACCTGATGTTCTGGGAAGGTCTACATGGTAGTGTTGAGGTACAGTTTCTTAGACTGAAGACCTCGGTGCTCAGTCAGGGCCCACTACCTGATGTTCTGGGAAGGTCAACATGGTAGTGTTGAGGTAGTTTCTTAGACTGAAGACCTCGGTGCTCAGACTGGGCCCACTACCTGATGTTCTGGGAAGGTCTACATGGTAGTGTTGGGGTAGTTTCTTAGACTGAAGACCTCGGTGCTCAGTCAGGGCCCACTACCTGATGTTCTGGGAAGGTCTACATGGTAGTGTTGAGGTAAAGTTTCTTAGACTGAAGACCTCGGTGCTCAGACTGGGCCCACTACCTGATGTTCTGGGAAGGTCTACATGGTAGTGTTGAGGTAAAGTTTCTTAGACTGAAGACCTCGGTGCTCAGACTGGGCCCACTACCTGATGTTCTGGGAAGGTCAACATGGTAGTGTTGAGGTAAAGTTTCTTAGACTGAAGACCTCGGTGCTCAGACTGGGCCCACTACCTGATGTTCTGGGAAGGTCTACATGGTAGTGCTGAGGTACAGTTTCTTAGACTGAAGACCTCGGTGCTCAGTCAGGGCCCACTACCTGATGTTCTGGGAAGGTCAACATGGTAGTGTTGAGGTACAGTTTCTTAGACTGAAGACCTCTGTGCTCAGTCAGGGCCCACTACCTGATGTTCTGGGAAGGTCTACATGGTAGTGTTAAGGTAGTTTCTTAGACTGAAGACCTCTGTGCTCAGTCAGGGCCCACTACCTGATGTTCTGGGAAGGTCTACATGGTAGTGTTGAGGTACAGTTTCTTAGACTGAAGACCTCGGTGCTCAGTCAGGGCCCACTACCTGATGTTCTGGGAAGGTCTACATGGTAGTGTTGAGGTAAAGTTTCTTAGACTGAAGACCTCGGTGCTCAGTCAGGGCCCACTACCTGATGTTCTGGGAAGGTCTACATGGTAGTGTTGAGGTAAAGTTTCTTAGACTGAAGACCTCGGTGCTCAGTCAGGGCCCACTACCTGATGTTCTGGGAAGGTCTACATGGTAGTGTTGAGGTAAAGTTTCTTAGACTGAAGACCTCGGTGCTCAGACTGGGCCCACTACCTGATGTTCTGGGAAGGTCAACATGGTAGTGTTGAGGTAAAGTTTCTTAGACTGAAGACCTCGGTGCTCAGACTGGGCCCACTACCTGATGTTCTGGGAAGGTCAACATGGTAGTGTTGAGGTACAGTTTCTTAGACTGAAGACCTCGGTGCTCAGACTGGGCCCACTACCTGATGTTCTGGGAAGGTCAACATGGTAGTGTTGAGGTACAGTTTCTTAGAATGAAGACCTCGGTGCTCAGACTGGGGTCCACAACCAAATGATTTTGGAGTGTTGAGGCACATAGTACTCAGACAACCATCCTTGAAGACAGAGGTGACCAGACAGGCCCACTTGTATCTAAACAGCACTGCTTGCCACCTCTATGAACCCCTATGAATAGTTATATCAGAGCATGTCAGCTAAAAGTGGGAGGGTGTCAATGGTGTTTACACTTTAATGAAACACTGCCTGATGCTGACAGACCACAACACTGACTGATGCTGACAGACCACAACACTGACTGATGCTGACACACCACAACACTGACTGATGCTGACAGACCACAACACTGCCTGATGCTGACAGACCACAACACTGCCTGATGCTGACAGACCACAACACTGACTGATGCTGACAGACCACAACACTGCCTGATGCTGACACACCACAACACTGACTGATGCTGACACACCACAACACTGCCTGATGCTGACAGACCACAACACTGCCTGATGCTGACAGACCACAACACTGCTTGATGCTGACAGACCACAACACTGCTTGATGCTGACACACCACAACACTGCCTGATACTGACAGACCACAACACTGCCTGATGCTGACAGACCACAACACTGCCTGATGCTGACAGACCACAACACTGCTTGATGCTGACAGACCACAACACTGCTTGATGCTGACACACCACAACACTGCCTGATACTGACAGACCACAACACTGCCTGATGCTGACAGACCACAACACTGCCTGATGCTGACAGACCACAACACTGCCTGATGCTGACACACCACAACACTGCCTGATGCTGACACACCACAACACTGACTGATGCTGACAGACCACAACATGGCCTGATGCTGACAGACCACAACACTGCCTGATGCTGACAGACCACAACACTGCTTGATGCTGACAGACCACAACACTGCCTGATGCTGACAGACCACAACACTGCCTGATGCTGACACACCACAACACTGCCTGATACTGACAGACCACAACACTGCCTGATGCTGACAGACCACAACACTGCCTGATGCTGACAGACCACAACACTGCTTGATGCTGACAGACCACAACACTGCCTGATGCTGACACACCACAACACTGCCTGATACTGACAGACCACAACACTGCCTGATGCTGACAGACCACAACACTGCCTGATACTGACAGACCACAACACTGCCTGATGCTGACAGACCACAACACTGCCTGATGCTGACAGACCACAACACTGCCTGATGCTGACACACCACAACACTGCCTGATGCTGACACACCACAACACTGCCTGATGCTGACAGACCACAACATGGCCTGATGCTGAGTGACCACAACACTGCCTGATGCTGACAGACCACAACACTGCCTGATGCTGACAGACCACAACCCTGCCTGATGCTGACAGACCACAACACTGCCTGATGCTGAAAGATCACAACACTGCCTGATGCTGAGTGACCACAACACTGCCTGATGCTGACAGATCACAACACTGCCTGATGCTGACAGACCACAACACTGCCTGATGCTGAGAGACCACAACACTGCCTGATGCTGACACACCACAACACTGACTGATGCTGACAGACTACAACACTGACTGATGCTGACACACCACAACACTGCCTGATGCTGAGTGACCACAACACTGCTTGATGCTGAGTGACCACAACACTGCCTGATGCTGACAGACCACAACACTGCCTGATGCTGACACACCACAACACTGCCTGATGCTGACAGACCACAACACTGCCTGATGCTGACAGACCACAACACTGCCTGATGCTGACAGATCACAACACTGCCTGATGCTGACACACCACAACACTGACTGATGCTGACACACCACAACACTGCCTGATGCTGACAGACCACAACACTGCCTGATGCTGACACACCACAACACTGCCTGATGCTGACACACCACAACACTGACTGATGCTGACAGACCACAACACTGACTGATGCTGACACACCACAACACTGCCTGATGCTGACACACCACAACACTGCCTGATGCTGACAGACCACAACACTGCCTGATGCTGACACACCACAACACTGCCTGATGCTGACAGACCACAACACTGCCTGATGCTGACAGACCACAACACTGACTGATGCTGTTTAGTATCAGAGTCTGTCTGTCATAGTATGGACTATTATCAGCTGAGCACAGACCGAACAGAGGGGTTTAGACTGTAAAAGCTGTCTATTGGCAGGCTGAGAGATTATTCACATCAGAATGATACACCTGGGTAGATGTGTTGTACAGTGGCCTACATTTGGGGACAGTGGTATGTGGGTGATGGTTTGGGTGGTGGTGTGGGTGTTGGTGTGGGTGGGTGAATGGGGGTGGGGGAGAATATCAAAAACCAACAAGCTCAGGCACATGGCTAATTGAGTGAGTGAGTGAGTTGGGTTTAATGTCACTTTGAACAGTATTTCAATCATATCTTGGCATGTCAGCTTAATGTGGGAGGAAAGCTTAAAGTGATGCAGGGCTTAAAGTTTACAACTTTTGGTGAAACCAACAAGCACATGTATGGTGCTGACAAACATAGAAACATTATCGGGGAGACATGGGATTCAAACCCATGATCACTGGTTTCTGACCAACCCAAGGAAAGCAACTCTGCCTTAGACGACTGGTCCACCTGTGCCTAATGGACAATGTTAACATGTCATGTGCGTGAAGTGTAAGAGCAGGAACATACCTGTCAGGTACCCATCCAGGGGTCCCTGGCTGTAGAACAGTGTTTCATGTTGGATGCGTTCTTCTGGTGTGATCTTCGACCACTCTGCAACAGGGAAAAACAGGGTAAAAAGTGCAAACCGAGCAATCAGTGATGTTCATGTTTTGAACTATCAGGATACATTTCAGAGCTTCAGATTTACAAACTTTCTCATGGGTGAATATTGGTGAAAACAACAGATCAGTGAACTCATCATATAGATGAGTAATAATGGTGCCAGAGGACGACATATTTTGTCAGGGGTCACTGACCCAGACCCCTTTCAATCTGAATCTCTGATAACTTATTAAATGTTGGTTATTCCGAATCCACGTTACCTGATGGACATAACATGCCACAGACCGAGAGATTGAAGAACCCAATTTCAAGTATTCTGGTATCTCTATACTCTGCCTCAATCAGTTATCAATCATAGTGTTTTCTGTTCAAACGTACTGCCACACATACATTGAATAGTCAAGGAACTGCAACATGAAATTCTGTGTCATACATTTGCTAATATCATTCTTCCAACAGACTATGGTTTAAAAGAAAACACCTTCCCATAAATAATTGCCTCTGCCATAATGCGCCTGATAAATCTGGCTGAGCAGTTTCAATCAGAGGTTGTTATCATGTTTCACCAATAGGGTATTTCTGCAATCATATATACCAAGATATATGTTACAGACAATGTGTAAAATGATTGAATTATCACTTAGACAATTTACGAAACGACAATATATTTAGGTTGTTTTACAATTCATCTACCATTTATTATATCATAACAAATTCCAACATTTCGTGCTATATTTTATCACCCAGTGACTGAAAATGATAGGATATATAAAAAAATATAAAGTCAATAATTATTTAATTTTTTGGCTTCTAGTTCTAGCATAATTAGTCTAATGTGATGTTTTTAAGCCCTTTAAACTTCTTGAAAGTTTAGTCAATCCAACAGAAAAACGATTTTAAATTGACTAAAATATTTCGTCATTTTACACACTAACACATTAACTGAGTTTACACATTGGCTGTAACATATACCATCTTTGTTATTCTGAGATCTAATGATCCTCTTGGATCAAAAGTTCCCCTCAAGAGGGTCTTTGAAGTTTATGTCACCACAGTCACAAAGAGATTCATTCATGTTTATCAGAGTTTCTCCTGAACAAGCTGACAATTGCCACACAATACAAGCTGTGATGGGTATCGAATAATGCAATGCACAAACCACAAGAAAATCTATGTGCTCTCTTATTTTTATCAATCTTTGCTAATTCCTACAATTCTTTATTTAGTACCTCAGCTAATATTTTCAGCCCCCTTTGATTGAAATATAGTCCATCTAGAAGCCTCACAATCAAGGATCAAAGAAATCTCTATAGTGAAACGTATGACGTCTATAGCAATATTGACAAGCACCTGCTTCAGTAAGACATGACACTGCCCTGTTTAAAGATGATGTACTTGAAATACCCAACACAATAACAATTGTAGGTTGCTTTCGACAAACATCAAGTACTATATACATCCATTGTGCTCAGTCAAGTTTGTTTTCAAGATGGTTGTTCGTGCTCTGGTGATTTTAACAAAAGAAATGAATGTGAGAGATTTTTAAAAAGGGTGCTATGAATGAATGCCTTGCATACTAGGGACATTCTACAAAGCTGCCCTGTGGGGGTGCCTTTACAAGCATGATGGGTAGGATGTGGAGTGATATCTGGGTTATATGTATATATACACCACACACACAATAACACAGGTTATGGGTCAAGCAAGGGAAAATAATTCATTTTTTTACATTCAAGGAAGTCTATTCACATTTGATTAAATACATATATGTCAAATATCATTTTGTCCTCGTATATCGAAATTACTAAATTAGCTTAACTGTTAATATTTATTGATGATGTTTACTTAAAAATGAGGATTTCTGAGGATAAAAGGAACTCATTCAAACAATGTTATTCTATACATTCTTGAGTACACACGCAGTGTAGAAAAGATTCCCAGAATTCTTGACATCAATGTCTTGCATAATCAAGTTGACAAAATTGAAGCGCTTACAATGTATTCACCAGTGTATTCATGTACCCCAGGTAAGTATAGGCTCATAATATCAACCACCAGGTGTTCCTGAATCAGACTGGATCTACAGTCATTATACTGGTGGTATGTTACTGACTAGAGCATGAAATAAAATCCCCTCACTCACTTTGTGAAAAAACACACACTTAAATGACATTTTCAACTCATTTGAAATTCTTACATTACCATGACTACCAGTAAACCAATATGTCCCCTTTACATCAGTAACATCATTAATTGTGTTTGTTTGAAGTTTAACATCATACTCAGAAATACTCCAGATATTTTCCCTTTACATCAATAACATCATTAATTGTGTTAGTTTGTAGTTTAACATCATACTCAGAAATACTCCAGATATTTTCCCTTTACCATGTTTACATCAATAACATCATTAATTGTGTTAGTTTGTAGTTTAACATCATACTCAGAAATACTCCAGATATTTTCCCTTTACCATGTTTACATCAATAACATCATTAATTGTGTTAGTTTGTAGTTTAACATCATACTTAGAAATACTCCAGATATTTTCCCTTTACATCAATAACATCATTAATTGTGTTTGTTTGAAGTTTAACATCATACTCAGAAATACTCCAGATATTTTCCCTTTACATCAATAACATCATTAATTGTGTTTGTTTGAAGTTTAACATCATACTCAGAAATACTCCAGATATTTTCCCTTTACATCAATAACATCATTAATTGTGTTAGTTTGTAGTTTAACATCATACTCAGAAAAACTCCAGATATTTTCCCTTTACATCAATAACATCATTAATTGTGTTTGTTTGAAGTTTAACATCATACTCAGAAATACTCCAGATATTTTCCCTTTACATCAACATCATTAATTGTGTTACTTTGTAGTTTAACATCACACTCAAAAATACTCCAGATATATGATGTCAGCCTGTAAATGATCTAGTCTGAACCAGAAAGACCTGTGAACCAGAATCAACCAAGTCACCAAGCCTGACAAACCCAATCAATTTAGTCCCCTTGTTCAACATAACATACCGGTAGGTTGCTGGGGACCTATTCTAACCCTGATGTGAACACCCACTGCAATTCCTTGTCATCAAAGTGGGCCATGGTCAGAAAAGGGTATTGATGTTGGGGTTGTGCAGGTGCAGGTGCTGCCCAGTTCCTCAGCCTCTGAGTGCCCACTCAGTTCCCCTGTCTACAACTATAGGTAAACATGGATGTTCCATTATGGTAGGCTACCTCAGAAGTCTACTGAGGAGTGCATCTGTCTGTCTGGAGAATGCATGGTCGGTGCTTCGATCCTCAGCCCCACCATACCAGAAAGACATTAAAAGACGGAACTCGGCATGAAGAGGATAAAACAAGGACTGGACGTCTCTGAGTCAGTATACTGTGTCTGACAGGGGTATCCATGTTAACATGCAGCATGTATCTCAGTGGGCTGGTGTATAATTCTGGTGTAAATCTGGACAAGTACAAGCAGCCACACACACACTCACACATAGGTGAATGCACATTGTTACATAAGTGCAATAATCTTGAACATGTTGAATGCCATGCTAAACCCCTTTTCATTTCACCTCACCTAACCTAAACTCACCGCACCTCATCAGCTATGCGAAATGAGTTTCATTCCATACTTCCCCTGTTCTGGGGTTCTCTGTTCTGAAAAAGTAAACTCAGTCATTGTAAAATAATGAACAGTATCTTTTCTTTCTGAGAGGCCAATGTTTCAGTTGGGCATCATCACATATATCACATGGATTAACAGGAAGTACCTAATGTTTCAGTACAGCATCATCACATATATCACATGGATTAAAAAGAAGGACCTCTGTGGTCAGAAGAATGTTTCAGTGAGGGATCATCACATATATCAAAAGGAATAACAGGAAGTACCTAATGTTTCAGTACAGCATCATCACATATATCACATGGATTAAAAAGAAGGACCTCTGTGGTCAGAAGAATGTTTCAGTGGGACATCATCACATATATCAAAAGGAATAACAGGAAGTACCTAATGTTTCAGTACAGCATCATCACATATATCACATGGATTAAAAAGAAGGACCTCTGTGGTCAGAAGAATGTTTCAGTGAGGGATCATCACATATATCAAAAGGAATAACAGGAAGTACCTAATGTTTCAGTACAGCATCATCACATATATCACATGGATTAAAAAGAAGGACCTCTGTGGTCAGAAGAATGTTTCAGTGAGGGATCATCACATATATCAAAAGGAATAACAGGAAGTACCTAATGTTTCAGTACAGCATCATCACATATATCACATGGATTAAAAAGAAGGACCTCTGTGGTCAGAAGAATATTTCAGTGGGACATCATCACATATATCAAAAGGAATAACAGGAAGTACCTAATGTTTCAGTACAGCATCATCACATATATCACATGGATTAAAAAGAAGGACCTCTGTGGTCAGAAGAATGTTTCAGTGAGGGATCATCACATATATCAAAAGGAATAACAGGAAGTACCTAATGTTTCAGTACAGCATCATCACATATATCACATGGATTAAAAAGAAGGACCTCTGTGGTCAGAAGAATATTTCAGTGGGACATCATCACATATATCAAAAGGAATAACAGGAAGTACCTAATGTTTCAGTACAGCATCATCACATATATCACATGGATTAAAAAGAAGGACCTCTGTGGTCAGAAGAATGTTTCAGTGAGGGATCATCACATATATCACTTGGATTGGGAGGAAGTACCTCTGTGCTCAGAATAATGTTTCAGTGAGGGATCATCACAGATATCACATGAAATGGAAGAAGGACCTCTGTGGCCAGAAGAATGTTTCAGTTGGACATCATCACATATATCACAAGGAATAAAAAGAAGGACCTCTGTGGTCAGAATAATGTTTCAGTGGGGCATCATCACATATATGACATGGACTAGAAGGAAGTACCTCTGTGGTCGGAATAATGTTTCAGTAGGGCA